ATTGAAGTATGCAGGGAAGCATTCAGAAATAAGCAACACTCCATTTTACAAGTTATCCTTGTGAACGCAAGTCAATGATGCATTCACATTGGCTGATAGTAAAATGTAACTGGACGTTAAGACTATCTTGTTCTCCACACCCTCTTTTGCAAGATGTTTCAGAGACATATTTGCCAGTTAGCACTTTTCTTTAAATGCAAGTACTTTTATATTTTTCTCTAATTCCCATGGTTTTTCTTTTGATTTTCCCCTTCAGCTCAAGAAGTTTCATTTCGTGGAAGACCTTTTTCTGGCAAAGTTATTAACTTACCGGACTCACATTGTGGTGTGGTTTTTCTTGAAACATTGAAGCCAAAGTCATTGAAAGCAGAAAGAAAATTTCATGCCATTCGAAATTTTCGTTCTTTCACTTACTGGAATTGGGATAAGCTACCATCAAAGAATGACCCATTGATGAGTGCTTTGGATTGGTTGGACATCTCTGAAGCGGTAAGTGTAGGCTATCCGCAATCAGAAAGGATACATTATCGTCGAATTTGCAGATTAATTTTAAAGAAGACCCAGCACTCAGATTTTTCTAGTTTTATAACGCTATGATCATGATTCAAAACAGTCTTTTATAAATGTTGTTATTTTTATATTTGTTGGTTTTTTAAAGAAGAAAACCCTGCCATCTTTTTCAATTCTGATACTTCATGTAGAACTAAATGATACGACGTTTAGACATTTTGCTGAAGTCAAAACTGTGAAAAGTTGTAAAGCCTATGTCATGATAGGTGCTCCAGTTATCTCGTTTGACTAAAAGTGTCCCTTTTCTTTGTTTTTATATTTTCAGATCCATTCACCTGTCAATGAGCCCATAACATGTGATAAGCTCTCAGTTGAAAGTAATGATGAGGACAAAGAGATGAAGTGTAATGGTGAAGAAACAAGAGAAGAATAATTTAATGGGGCTATCCGAGATCTTCAGCCTCAGCCATGGTAATGGAACATAATGAAAAGTGTGCGTTAACCTCAATGCTAAGAATACTAATACTGCGCAAATAAGTCAACATAGTATCCATAGTCATATCGGTAACAAGTGTCAATAGAAGTTTTATCGTGATATTTTCAAAAACATTTTTGGTCATATAGTTCTTATCCTTATAGGCCTCATACGATTTGTGCAGGGCTTACAAATGTATAGTTTCCTTTTTTTGTATTTCTCGAAATAGTACCTTTCGGAGATGCAGAATACGAAGGAAGAAATTGTTATCCCGGGGAAAAAATTGTTACATAAAATCAAATGAAATTGCTCATAACTTGATTATCCCTGTGATTTTATCCTATGTTATAGGGTGGTAATAAAGTTGTAATGTTTCTTATTTAGTAGGTATTTGGGCAGTTGAGTTAACAGGAAAACATCACATTCTATTGGCACTGATGTCTATAGACAAAATCCAATTTCATGCCTGCCAACCTCTGGTCATCAGTAATAGTAGAATAAAAATAACTGAATTTAGGTGAGTTTATTTGAGGTACCTATCAAATGTAATTTCTTCAACAGGAGTTGACCTATGGATTGAATATTTCTGCCTCATGTATGTACATTTTTGTAAAATAAAAGTTTTCTCCCATTTAAACTTGTGAATTCTTTCAAGAACTATTATTTAACAATGGAAACCAAAAAAACTGAAGTATTGATAAACTATGAGTATCAAAACTGAGGCAGAAACAATTTCTAATGTGCAAAATTGAACACATACAATCAAACTCATAAGGTAAATTAAATAAAGAAGGCGACGTGCTTCAGGACAGATTCCGGAATCCGCTCAGTAGAGAAGGAATGTTGTCCTGAAATGTGTCAACCTTCTTTATTTTGTTTACTTCGTGAGTTTTGAGTTTATTTTGATTCTACACATCTTATGTCGTTTTTGCACCTTAATTTTATTATGATCGAATAGCAACAATAATGGTGTTCTTGCAAGCAGCAAGGATTTTTTATTCAACCTCTAGTTTCAATGTAAGTTTTCCGAGTAACACCATGGTGCCACTAATTTGCTTTGAATTCAACAACAAGCATCCAGAAAAGCTCTGAAAGTCGTTGGCGTGATGGAAACGCCAGCTTGCTCTGTAAAGCATCTAATTATTCAGCAAGAGTAAAAGAAGCAAATAAAAAACCAAATTTAATGGGAACACACCAAGTGTTGCTGACAAAGAATTGAGTTCAGAATAGTTCTGAATTCAACTAGGCGTTACTTTTTTAGTGTCAAATATTCAAAATTGAAAAAATATACAATTTATTAATTGGTCTGATGGAAGGAAAACTTCAAACCACTTTTTTCTTTGGTTCAGACTTGGTGCGTTCCTGTTAAAATCAATCCATTCATTGTAAACCTAATTTTAAATTTTGGAAAAGTATTTGTTAGGAATTCTTTGTTGTCTACTTGGAAAATTATTTAACACAATGACAACTATTTTCAAAACTTTATAAATGTATGTATTTTTATCATTTCTTTTTCCACTTTTTTTTAATAAAAATGAGTTCACATTGATACTGACTAGATTTTGTCTTGAGAAGTAAAGGCATACACTAATTTGATTACAGTTCGAAAAATTAATACAAAAGAAAAGTGATTTGTACATTCAATCTTCACTCTTGGGAAGCTCTGTGGAACAAAAGCTAATAAGTAATAACATGGTCTGGAAAACTTTGGAAGTCCGAAATTTTACCAGTAAATAAGCATAAGCATGACAACTTCAGCCAGTGACTTACTGGAGAGCGCTAGCAACTTCCCGGTGCTTTCATCCATGATCTGAATCTCTAAAAATGGAAATTTCATCCAAAGTTTACGAGAAGTCAACGTAATTAAAAGGGGAAAAAACTAAGAGGAAATTTTGTTCAAAGCTCAAGGAAAGTGGGGGAGAGGCAACGAGAGTCAGGGAATTGGAAAAGTAAATGAAGAAATTATGGAAACCCTGTTTGCTGGTAATATGGTGCAACTTCACCCATAATTTGTAGCAAACCAAAACAAACATACGTTTATTTTAATAAAAAAAAAATAAGCATGGATGCAGAGGATGAGTGGGAGAGAAACTTCAGCCCAGTTTTCGAACTGTTCAGCTGCAAATAATGTGCAAGTAGCATGTGATCTTCACTGTATTGCACATTTCATATGCCCTTGTTCCATAGAGCTCCTCAATTGACAAAATAGCACTTGAAAGCACCGAAATAAAGTTAATGCTTCATAAACCATGAGCCTTCATCGATGAACTAGACGTAACAGTCAAATCTTCACTCATTTGTAAGATATGTTTGAGCATGGAACAGATGAATATTTAATTGTGCATGAGCTAAACGATTTTTTAACGATGTATTAATTTTTCATGATGAAGCCACATAATACCATGATAATTTTCACTTTACTTTTCTTGAATAAACACTGCAACTATATTGAGCGGTGCTTTCCATTTTTTGGAATGGGCATGAATTGCAACTCTTTAAAATTTATGCTGTTAAAGTCCCAATCAAATAACAAACATTCACAAAAAATAAGAATCAAGTATCAGACAGGAACCAAGCATTATGAAAAAGTAACTTCTCTTGCTGATTGAAAATGAGCAGTTTTACAGAAATAGGTTCTAGTGAACAAATTTTTAGACAGAGAGTACAAAACAATATAAATTCCTATACAGAGTATAAAAATATCAGCAATGAAGAAGGGTAAAATCAACTTGGTGTTGCAGTAAATATTTTTAAAGTCAGCAGTAAAGTCTGGAATGAGTCTCCTGAATTGTATTTACAAAATTAAAGGAAACAATGATGATTATTCTGTCACGAAATCCAAGACAAGCTGTCTGCCCATAAGTGGATTATTTTAAGTATTTTACTTATGGCGTGCTCTTGCATTCTTGGTAAAATGAACTATGTAGATGTATTGTAGGACTCAGTTGCCGCTGTCTCAAACAGGTTTGCGCCCACAAGTCGTTAGTTTTTTGGCCAACGATCACTAGAAAATTCAATTTAAAAACGGGATTCTCATTGAGGAGAAAAAAACTTATGCCAACAAAATTATCTCCAAGAGATACACTGTTTGACACACCACTAGTTACAACCAATCAGCGTCTGCAGTTGCCTTCCTGCTCGGTCGTGATTAGTGTTGCATTCAACAGAGTTTCTCTTTGAGGCAATTTTTACCGTAAGAATTTTTCCCTCTACAATGAGAATTTCAGTTTTAAACTGAATTCCGGCGAACGTTGGCCAATAAACAAACAGTGCCAGTCGCCGTGAGTTGTAGATTCTAATTCTAAACAGAACAACCCGACTGTCTCCTGCAAGACCCTCCTGTGACCATTTAACTACTGAGAAACACTAAGCCTGTTTCAGCAGAATTGCAGCCTACTGGGTGATGTAATTGGAACTAAATGATACAGAACATTGGCATGGATACTTCTGTTTCTTAGCAGACCTACTGGACAGTTAACTCCAGTAATACATCATGATGTCTTGCTTATTTAGAGAAAAAATTGAATGACAGGAAAAGAGAGCAAGTTAAAAGCTTCAATACAAATCTTTAAAACAACTACTTGTGGAAATCGGAATGGCAATTGAGGAACTCATGACAGCAAAAAATGCAAACAGAATTTTGCCACGATACCTTCTATGTGCAGGTCTTTGGTTCAGATATGCTAAAAATGACTCAATAATATATTAAATAGGTCAACAATTTATTTAATAGTGTGACAACGAAATTCACTCGCTACTGAATGCAGACTTCAATATGCACTTTGCTCTGATTCAACCACGGAGGTACAACCTCAACTTTTGTGGTTGTCAAAAGCACATGCATTTGAACGAAGCTAACCTCTCACAAATGTTAGACTTTTTTGTGGTCTTTTCTTTACAAGCTTTGGTACAATCATCTCTATGATTTAAAAAAAGTATACGTAAAAAAAAATCAAACTTCACAGCCCCCTACTGTTTATGAAAGTCATTCACACTAAGACTATTGTCTTGTGAAAAAAGAAATGTACAGGAAAAAAAGTGAAGACAAAACACGCTCCCTTAAAAGTGCACGAAAATTGTTTTGAGGGGTTACAGTAAAATGCATTGTTTGCATTCTAGCTTTTGATAACTTCCTTGACTGCTCATGGCACAACTCGGGGCTTTGAATACTATGTGACTACTACGAAGGTCATTCAAAAACTTTAAGGTACCCCTTGCTCAGCTACAGAACTCAACTCGTGCTATGGTTGTGGTCCTAAAAAATTGAAACCTGACAAGTCTCTTTAAATTAAATATGCAGATCTTTCCAAATCGCCGACTCAAAAGTCGATAGTTCTGTCAAATAAAAGAGCTACAAAGTGAGGAGCTGATGGGTGCTGTAAGGAGAAAAAACCTTGAAACATCTAATAACAAAGCAATCACCGTATTTGGTCATGATTCAACATCTGAATCAGCATAGTTAGTTATCTTTTCATTTTATTCGTGGGGTATCTACAGATCTAGCCATAGCTTTATGCTTCTCTTGGTGTTGTCTTATGAAAGCACTTAATCTGTTAAGCAGAAACTGCTTATCATGACCCTCTAAAATTAGCTGCTTCTTCAAAACAAGTACCATTTTCTGATTAGCAATAGAGACCGAGTAGTAATAATACAATAATAATACTAGAGTTACGATGATGGGCATCACAAACCACGAAGAGGAACAAAACTGAGCAAACATTTTCACCCAAGAGGGAAAATCGTGAAGAGCTTGTGAAAATATGAGCCAAACTGATGGTTGCCCTTTAAACGGTCCACAAGACTTGGAAGGCATAATTTCAAGGACTGAGTAAGCCCATGGAATGATGCTGAAGATATAAAAAGAGCTCAAAACAAAAACGAATAAAGACTGAAGTTCAGACGCTGGATACAAACTTGCGGAGGGTGCACAGTTTACTACGCACGCAAATTTCTTCAGAAAAAAGGT